CATAAAAATATGTCATATGACAATGGTTACCGGAACCTATAGATAGGTCAACTTTTTAGCCTTCTTTCTGGCTTCAGCTTGCTTGATATCCGAACTCACAGGACTCAGCTTTAGAGTAGTTGCTAAATTCAGCCCTAGAAAGAGCAGTGCTTCGCAGAATCTATCGCCGAACTACCTAGTCTATAAAACACGGGTCCTATAGGAACTATTACACTGACCACTTGTACTACGCGGCCAGGGTCATATTTTTTTAACTGCGGAGTCTGGAGTCTGGTTAATTATTTCCCGGCTCGCCTAGTGTTTAAAGGGTTACCAAATCAAATTAGGCTCTTTTATGGGTACCAAAGACTGAGATACGTACTGCATAGATGTTTAAATATATACATAAATAGATAATAAGTACCCAGACAAAAAGCAAACAAACCTGAACATCACATGATTGTTTTATTTATTTATTTTTTATTGCATAGACGAATAGACTAGCTCATAGCCCACCTAGTGTTAAGTGGTTACTGGAGCCCATAGGCATATATAACGTAAATGCCGCCACCCACCTTGAGATAATATGAGTTCTAAGGCCTCAATATACTTATAGTTACAACGGCTGCTCCACCCTTCAAGCCGAAACGCTGCTTTATGGCAGAAATAGGTAGGGTGGTGGTACCTACCCGTGCGGACTCACAAGAGATCCTACCACCAGTAATTACGCAAATTATAATTTTGCGGGTTTGATTTTTATTATACGATACTATTCCTTCACCGCGGAAGTCAATCGTGTACATTTATTAAATGCGTATTTCAGCAGGAAAATTGGTACCCGCCTGCGGGATTCGAACATCGTTGCATCGCTACATACGAATGCACCGGACGTCTTATCCTTTAAGCCAAGATGACTTCAATGTTTATCCGATATGGAAATCGAACCCATGATCCTCGCCGCAAAAGTCAGGGAGCGCTAACAACTGCACCACTGAGCCTATAGACATCAACAATGTAAAAACCTAACAACAGAAATAAGCTTTATAATAATAATTGTGTGTATAATAAAAATAGCTTTATAATAATATGTATGTATGTATGTGTGTATGTATGTATATACTTTTTGTAACATAGTAACTTAATATAAATTTCATTGCACCTACCACTATCTACTCTGCACTACCTTTGGTTGACTGGTAGAGAATGCCTTAGGCATTAAGTCCGCCAATGTAAATTTTACATGAAGTTATAAATAAATAAATAAATGAAATCCACCCCTTGTTATAATCCATAAAATAATCCAATTTTAATTTATATTATCAAATCATTAAAAAATGGTTTAATTTGATTGATGCATTCCTTAATTTGACGGTGTTATCAATCAACAGAGATCAAGTTACGTTGGACGCCCAGAGAGATTGGAATTATTTCAATTAAACCGCGAATTTAATGCATCAGAAATTCTCATATTAAAGAGATGAAAATAATTATTGCGCCTTCAATTATAAAATTCCTATTTTATTTGATATTTATTTATAAATTCGATTTACTCTAAATTGTCAAGTACACAATATATTACATTACATATTTTAATAAGTGCAATAAATATTTGTTAAAGGAGGTATCGACATCAATCTTGGTACTATCGTTTCCTATCAGCCCATGGACGTCCACTGCTGGACATAGGCCTCCCCCAAGCCTCGCCACAAAGACCGGTCCTGCGCTGCCTGCATCCAGCGGATCCCCGTGAACCTTAATAGGTCGTCCGCCCAATCTTGGTATTAATATAACAATATTATGTGGAAGGAACAATCTGAGAAGAAGGCAGAGGTAATTCGTGATATTTCCAGTGTTTTTTTCCGACTAGAAAATGCATTATCATCATCATCTCAGCCTATCCACTCTCTCTTCCTGAACATAGGCATCTCCAATTGATCTCCAGTGCGGCCATCTGAATACATCTTGATCCAGCGATTTTCACTAGGTCATCGGTCTATTTTGGCACAAAGATCCTTGAGGTGAGACCATGTACTGGCAATCACAGTGTGGGAAGTCCACTTACCAAACGAACCGACGACCTAATGAAAAATACATTTTAATGGAGATTAACTTTTAAAACGTTATCTTAGGTTTCCCCGTGCTTATATTGGAACACCATCGAGGTATGTTCTTCTTCTTTTTCTCTACCTTATCCCACTAGGTGGGGTCGGCACAGCTAATTTTTCTCTTCCATTCTCGTCTATCAGCCGTCATCTCAACACTCACTCCTCTCTCTCTCTCTCTCATATCGTCATTCACACACTCCATTCATGTCTTCTTCGGTCGACCTCTTCCCTCTCTATGCTATTTACATTTACAGGTATGTTTGCATGTATACATTAACTTAAACTCTGTTGATTAAAATAGAGGTAAGTTTTGATGAATTAAACTTTTTCAATTTGTGAAATCAAATACCCTCTCTTACCCTTACTGACGTGAACGGAAAATAATAATTATTTAAGCTGAGCATAAATACGTATTTTAGTAAGTTTATTATTCGCGAAAACTCAATGTAGCTTGAAATCTATTAGGTCGTTGACCTCGCGACTCTTCAGGTTTAAAATAAATGGCGTGTTTTTTTAGTACTTAGTCGATTGAAATATCTATCTCCCGGTCCATCAAGTGCTAAGCGTCTACCAGAGACTACAATGTGCTTAGTACGACTTTTTAACGTTCTCGATAGCGTAAAAGTTAACTCGAATTTGTGTGAAGACGGAACGTTTGCCTACGTTTGCGCTAGGGGCGCTGTTCCAACTGGATACAAATTTGAGTTAACTTTTACGCTATCGAGAACGTTAATAAACTCGCACTAGGCACAAGGATATCGCTACATTAATGTCGCCACACACCTTGGGACATACATACGTAGGTATGATCGAAATCTTCATTACAAAACTGTTTATAGTTTTCGTGTCAAAAATCACCTCTATTATTTTTATATTATGAAATGTGCATTATTTAATAATCAAATCCGTATAATAGAACACAAATAAAAAAAAAAACTTAATTAAATTATTGATTCACCGTAAATCCAATCGCAAAGGCTTCATGCGTACCTATTTAACACGAGAGTTAGCGAAAATTGAGCTTTTGTCGCCAATCTTAATAACTGATTTGCTGTGACACACATTTATAAACGTTTCTGCTGTCGTTGTCACCCTTATTCAATAGACTTAAAGTTCAATTTTGTTTGCACGTATAGGTATATCACCTAAGCGCAGGTGTTTGTAGGTGATCAAACCCCGTCCGAGCTATAAATCAGAATTGATGAATGAATTTGTGTTGCCGGCGTGTGGGTTGCGATATAAAGGAATTATGCATGTTTGAACTCTCGTCGGAGCCTAATATAATGCGCACGTGACGCTTTAATGAGTGGAAATTGCGATAAATGTACGTACAGACATATAATGGGATAAATACCGGCAAATCAAAACCGGAATGTCATAGCCGGAACATAGTGTGGTACTATCTATATATTAATACGTGAAGCAAAAACTTTGTATCCATTTTTACGAAAATTGCGCGGACGGAGGAGTATGAAAGTTTGCACACTTATAGAGAATATAGAGAAGAAGTGCACAATGCTAATATTTTTTTCAGAATAATGCATAAAAGATACAGTAAATCAATAAAGAAAACATTACACACACTACATACCATGTATTTGACGCACACACCCATGCATACTATTTATTGTCAAACTTTTGTTTTTGGCGTCTGTTGTCAAATTGAGAATAGATTAAATATTGTTGTTGATATTTTTTACAGTGTGAAATAAATTATTATATAATTGACGAAATTTGTGATTATAGAAGTATAAAATACAATCATAATAGTGTACAAACTTACAATTCCAATTAATTATAGTCGAATTTCGACTACTGCGGGACCTCTAGTTAAGAGAAATTGATGAAAGGATAATTTTTGAAAGTATTGATTGATTGAAATTGTTCTTTTACTAATGTTTTTTTTTACTNAAAAAAAAAAAAAAAAAAAAAAAAAAAAAAAAAAAAAAAAAAAAAAAAAAAAAAAAAAAAAAAAAAAAAAAAAAAAAAAAAAAAAAAAAAAAAAAAAACAAGTTTGTAAAGAAATCGCTCTATGACAGACTTTTTTTTCTTTTTTTACTGCTTAGATGGGTGGACGAGACAGCCCACCTGATGTTAAGTGGTTACTGGAGCCCATAGACATCTACAACGTAAATGCGCCACCCACCTTGAGATATAAGTTCTAAGGTCTCAGTATAGTTACAACGGCTGCCCCACCCTTCAAACCGAAACGCATTACTGCTTCATGGCAGAAATAGGCAGGGCTGTGGTACCTACCCGCACGGACTCACAAGAGGTCCTACCACCAGTACAAGACTACTAAAGACTTTCCATCTCTGAAGGTACTATTGAAATTCTCATCAAGTCTTTGTATTTAATTTTCTCTTATCTATCTGACCAGCACGGGTCGATTAAACTAACCCACATATTAGAACCGCGAAGCATTCAACTGTTTCCGCTTGAAGGGTTATTTCAACCCAATGGAGACATTAGTCTTTATGGGGTACTACTTTAAAGAAGGCTCAGCTGTCACTTTACAAAATAAAAACTCAAAAACAGTCCTTTGTGGTGTTTAACTGTACTCTGATGTCCTTGAAGAACTATTTATCATCAGTCCACAGGTGTCCACCGCTGAACCCTGATCTCGCGATTCATATCCACCGGATTCCCACAGCTTTCAACAGACAATCGGTTCACCTTGTAAGATGTTTAATTACATTGCGATATTTCTTACAATCAAATGAAAGAGAAGCTGTTTGGTTAGTATTTAAAAAGTTTAATTCATTTTTATGCCTATAACGATTATAAATTCCACATTAGAAATCCAACATCCAGAAAGACATCCAGATATCATCCGGAAATTCGATCACGAATAAAACACTTTTAAATTCAATAATATCAAAAGTAAAACTACTTTCACTTATTACTTATACTTACCGAATGCAGCAAGAACAATCACACTTATAACTGCGTCAGCGAACATCGTGTCACCATTTATCTGAAATCAAAAAGGAGGTGAATAGAACTTTTTTTTTTCACTGAACCCACCGTGGCCTAAGTAATAAGACGCCCGGTGTACTCGTGTTGAACGATGCAACTATACTAGTATTCAAATCAGGCACTTCCACGATTAAAAAATATGCGTAATTACTTGTGCTTATGCATATTGTTGGCCCATCAGGGGAAGTTCCAATCACAATTCTGGCTATTTTTAACGGGAAAAAATCAGGATGCCGGTTTCAAGAGTGGGGCAGACGTTAAATAATACATTTTGAGATGGTGATGACCTCATGCCTCAGCGTGGAGGGTGGCATTTAAGTTTCCACGTGTACTTTGATAGTTACGAGATAAAGAAATTAAGACATCTAAAATAAGCAAGAACACATAACCTTTCAAATATTCGGTATCCGAGTTTTTTTTGTGACATAAATGTAGACCACTCTACTCGCTTCACTGTTCGAGAAGCTCTAATCAATTTTCTAAAACAAACTGTTTTAAAACTAAACTTTTTATTATTTTTATTACATTATATTTATTAAAAAATATTTTGTCTATTTTAAAATATTTCTATTTGGAATTGTTAACAGAACAGGAATTATTTTTCAAATATAAACAAGAATTTGAATTATAAAAAAAACCATGCTATTAACACCTTTATACGCAACGAAAACAAACAATGGAAGCTCGGGAGGAGCAGCTTTTTTTTTAATACTAATTTCTCCTTTAGCTCCACCACTATTGTTCTGAATTCATTCAATTCGGCACGTTTCCACGCTCAAACGTAATTCCAGCGCTTTCGAGCTGTAATCTCGGGGGGTGTGAAACTTTCAGCGGCTTTATGGGTTAACGTTGAAGTTTTTGTTTAGTTAATAACACGTCGTAAAGTGTATTCTCTACACGTTTACCCTTACACGAGAACTGTTCAACTTGATCGATCACAACAGAATAAGCCGTGAATTGAGGAATTATTTCAATTAAATTGCCATGAATATTTTTTCGTTATCATAGACGGAGCTTTCAAATACTATGAAAATGCAAGCTCTCTGAAGTCGTCGTGGCCTAATGGATAAGACGTTCGGTGCATTCGTGTTGAGCGATGCACCGGTGTTCGAATCTCAGGCGGGTACCAATTTTTCTAATGAAATACGTACTCAATAAATGTTCACGATTGACTTCCACGGTGAAGGAATAACATCGTGTAATAAAAATCAAACCCGCAAAATTATGATTTGCGTAATTACGTGGTAAGACCTCTTGTGAGTCTGCGCGGGTAGGTACCACCGCCCTGCCTATTTATGCCGTGAAGCAGTAATGCGTTTCGGTTTAAAGGGTGGGGCAGTCGTTGTAACTATACTTGAGACCTTAGAACTTATAACTCAAGGTGGGTGGCGCATTTACGTTGTGAATCTATGGGCTCCAGTAACCACTTAACACCAGGTGGGCTGTGAGCTCTGCTTTTTACGAATGTTCCGTTATAACTACTGAATACATGTACTTAATGGATAGGCTAATGTTTATATGAGTGTTGGACTCCCTACACCAGTTGCGGGGGCGTTGATGATGAGAATCTTTGTGGGGGTGAGAAATAATTATATTAAATTTAAATGCCCAGCAAAGCCGACGGGTACAGCTAGTAATTTATATGATTATTTCGTATACTGATTGGCTGTTCCAATACCTACATCGAAAAACGTTGACGCCGAGCGATAATCGCGAAAGTACTATGTATGTGAAAATACTAAATGAAAGTACCTAATTCGTCATGTCTACATAGTACATACATTTTCGGTAGGCAGCGGCTTGGCTCTGCCCGAGGCATTGCTGAAGTCTATGGGCGACAGTAATCACTCACCATCAGGTGGGCCGTATGCTAGTCTGCCTACAAGGGCAATAAGAAAAAAAAACATGACGGTCCCAGTTTGTGAAACAAAGGCTAAGATCGAAAGATTTTTCGTTAAGATTAATATTTAACTTTACTTAACAACTATTGTCTTATTGAATAAGATTGCATCCCCAATTTTAAATGTTGATATTATTATGATGACCATGGTCTACGGCAATATCATAATAAGGCTGGGTATGAACTAAGCGCGCTTAAGCAAAGACTAAAGTCATAGTCGTACCGCCACGTCCTTTATTCACTTGCACAAATAGAGTGGTTTTTGCTTCATTGCATTCAAAAATACTACATCACAACAATAAAAAATAAGTGCGTATGGCAACACTTTTTTTTTAAAATAATATAGTGATTCTAAATACAAATTGCGCGCGAAAACTAAACATCGCGGGTAAAATTCAAAATCGTTCCTCAACATTTCATTTTATTTATGTTTTAAATTATCTTTTGCCTTTTCTGTTCCCCCAAAAGTATTAATATTAGAACTAACTAAATATTATCATTATCTGTACCGACACCAAGGCCATACCCATGTAATTGACGAATATGATGTGATAAACACATTTATTTAAATTTAAGCCAACATTTTAGAATACAATTTAATATCACACATGTCAACGGAACGCAGATTAAAATCGATTATTCTAAGTAATAGCTAGTATTTTTTTGTGATAGACAAATATTTTTTTTATAATGGTGGCTATTTAGTTCTATAAATAAACATTCTTAAACTGCATGCTTTAAAAAACAAGCGCAAAAAAATAGCGGTAAAAATTACCATTATGAAAAATATTTACTTTCTGTACTTACGTATTCAATAAATTAATAAATTATCTCGTAATTCACATAGGTTCATGAAATATCATCTTGTAAAGTCAAAAAAAAAACAAGTCTCCAAACAAACAGCACACCCGCGTAATACTTTGTGTTAAGGCGTAGAAATGCTACGCCGTAGCGACCGTCCGCGTAGACGTACAGGACGACAATGGCGGCATTCCGAACCTCCGTAGCACTGAGACGTACCCGACTTAGTTGTAACCGATTCTGGGGAACGCAAAAAGGTTAGTACATGTTTTTAAAGAATTAAAAAAACATCCTAATATCTTATGATATTGAGATGGTTATGATAATATGCCGTTATTTTAATTTCGCTTTGAAACTGTCGAATTTTCAATTTAACCATTTTTTTTAGCGCGCCAAGTGGGCAAAGGCTCTTGTTGAGTCTTAGTGTTAGCTATTACCGGAGTTTAATAGCATCGCAAAGTGGATGTCATTATACGAATATTCCTGTGGAAATACTTCCACAATGATCCCGCTTTATTCCTATAGCATCATGAAATAAAATCAAACTCACTAATAATACGTACTTATTTATCGTAATTAAGGGTGGGGAGTATATTGTAAGCCCGCCCCATTGGTATAATTACCCTACTTATTTCTACAGCAACTCATTAGGGTTTGAAGTGTGGACCATCCAATTTCAATACAATTGACATTTTAATCTTATGTCTCATGTTGGTTATCGACATTCATAGTTTTTTATTTTTTTTATTGCTTAGGTTGGGAGGTGAGCTCACGGCCCACTTGATGTTAAGTGGTTACCGGAGCCCACAGACATTCACAGCCTAAATACCGCCACCTACCTTAATCGTTTTCATATTTATGAATTACCAGTAAGCATTTAGCATCAGTTGAACAGTGAGCTTGTCCCCGCATCAAATGTTGCTCTGAAAACAAAAATAAAACTTTCAAATACACAAAATTGAGAAACGTAATAATTAAGACAAATAATATATTTCGGAGCTGCTTTCCATTGAGATTAACGCTCTTTTGTTTCATTTCTATTGTACGAAAACAGATTAATAATTGAATTACAGAGCTGGAGAGTATTTACATTTTGTTTTTATTCGTTCTCATGTTTTTTATTGTATATTTTTCCAAACATAATCGTGGTACTTATAGGTCCATCAATTAATGTATTGCTAATTTTGAGATATCGTAATTTCGGAAGAAAAGACTTGTTCGGTTTGAAGGGTGGGAAAGCCGTTATAACTATAAGGTACTTGAGACCTTAGAACTTATATCTCAAGATGGGTGGCGCATTTACGTTGTAGATGTCTATGGGCTCCAGTAATCACTTAACACCGGGTGGGCTGTGAGCTCGTCCACCCATCTAAGCAATAAAAAAAATGTATCTTGAGACATCAGATTGAATTCACGGTTGTATTGCGTTGGCTATTTCAACCTTAACTCGGCCGATCATGTCTTCATAACAGACAAAGGTAAAGTGGTTAGCTGTCTCTACGGGCACGCAATAAATCCTACAAGAAACATGCGATTTATTTCGATTTCAGATACACACTTTCGACAACCTTCAATGCGAACAACTTAAGATCTTATAATCCTTCGCCTCTTTGGTAAAGTTCCCACTAGACACGTTGTAGGTACAAGGCGCAGAATACGTACACACAGAACGGTCAGTGATGATGTTTAATTCGTGCACCTTTTTTTTTATTGCTTAAATGGATGGATGAGATCACAGTCCACCTGGTGTTAAGTGGTTACTGGAGCCCATAGACATCGACAACGTAAATGCGCCACCCATTTTGAGATTTAAGTTCTAAGGTCTCAGTATAGTTACGACGGCTACCCCACCCTTCGAACCGAAACGCATTACTGCTTCACAGCGGAAATAGGTGGGGTGGTGGTACCTACCCGCACGGACTCACAAGAGGTCCTTCCACCAGTAATTATGCAAATTATAATTTTGCGGGTTTGATTTTTATTACACGATGTTATTCCTTGACGGTGGAAGTCAATCGTGAACATTTGTTGAGTACGTATTTCATTAGAAAAATTGGTATCCGCCTGGGATTCGAACACCGGTGCATCGCTCAACACAAATGCACTGGACATCTTATCCTTTAGGCCACGATGACTTCACTATCTTTTTACTATCTTACTATGTATTCTAGTTCTAATTTTCACTTCAATCAACTTTATGATCTAAACTTAATTAGTTTTGTTGCAGGAATTAGTAAACATACCGTACATCTATTTACATACTGTACTCTACTCTACATTAC